CAGTCCGTCAGCACCACCAGCTCGCCATCACTCTTGTCCTCACCCTCTGAGTCCTCCTCCTCGCTGTAGCGGTACATCTCACCGTCGGCCACCGAGTGCCCGTCGTCGCCGCCGTCGCTCTCCTTGAGGCTGCGTGTGTTGACAATGACGGGCATGCTGGGGTCCACGCTGCGGGGCAGGTAGTGCTCCATCAGGGGGGGTGTCAGCTGCATGCCCACCGGCCGCTGGTACAGCACGTCCGAGGAGGCGGGGGGCATCTGGCTGCCTTGGGGCCTGTGGGACAGGAGAATGCAATCACCCGCCGGGGCGTCAGGTTGCTCCCCCTGCCTCCTCTTACCTCCCGGGGTACCCACCCTAGGGGGCACCTCAGCGAGCCCCCCCCTCGGATGGGAGGAAGGGGAGCGTTACCCTATCAAGTAGCCCTGCCTGGCGTCCTGCCGCCGGTTTCTCATCAGCGCCTTGTACTCGCCCACGCGCAGCCGCTTCCCCTCCACGATGCAGGTGCGTTTGGGTCGGGGCTTGTACTTATAGTCGGGGTATTTCTCCAGGTGCTGCCGGCTCAGCCGGGCTTGCTCCTCGTAGTAGGGTTGCTTCTCCTGGTTTGTCATGGACTTCCACCGGGAGCCTGCGCAGAGAGGAGCCGCGGGGGGGGCACGCTTACACCCTGCCTGCTGTGGCGAAACACACGCCAGCTCCCAGCGGGGATAGCCATGGCAAGAGTTAATTGCTGGGATAGCCATGGCAAGAGTTAATTGATGCTCGTACCATCTCCTGTGTGAACAGGGAATTTGCTGCCCTTGTGGGAGCCCAGAGCCTCCCGGTGAAGCCAGCCCTGCCAGCACTGGTCCCCAGCCCTGACCTTCCCTGGGCACCTCTTAGGCCATGGCTTTCGATCCTCTCCAAAGGATGGTGAGCAGGTGCTGCAGCTAAAATAGCCTGTGCCGGCATGTGACTTGCATTCCCCCACTGGCTGACCTTTATTGTCATCGCCGCCAACACCCCGGGCAGGAGGGCAAAGCAGGGCACAGCACAAAGGCTGCTGGGCTGGGAGAGGGTCTAGGGGCCAGGCTGGCAGCGAGAAGGGTTTAATCCCCTCAGCTCAGCACCTGGGAGGCTGCAGCTGGACCAGCGTCCAGTTTGGGAGCGAGAAGGACAAGATGGAAATGCTTGGAGATCCTCAGCATCCTTGGAGACGCTCAACAGTCAACAGGACACAGCCCTGGGGATCCTGATGGGACTGTGGAGGTAGGTGGGTTTTGAGCAGGGCTTTCGGCTGGGGACCTCCAGAGGCGTGGCCAGGAGGAAGGGCTGGCGTGACTGAGAGCTGCAGCAGGACCGCTGCTGTCAGGGGGTGTGAGACACTGGCTGGATGAGGCCTGCGCTGCTACTGGCACCTCCAAGAGCGATGACACAACAGGGGTAGCACCATCCTGATGAGCATCACCCATATGTGGGTGCCTGAGCAGAGTGAGCAGCTGGACAGAGCTTGTGTCCTCCCATGGGGATGCAGAGGGGCATCCTGCCCCAGCCCACCCGCCACCATCCCCGGCACTCACCCAGGATCTTGCTGATGCTGGAGTTGTGCATGTCCGGGAAGGCCTGCAAGATCTTCCTCCTCTCGTCCTTCGCCCACACCATGAAGGCATTCATGGGCCGCTTGATGTGGTTGTTGTTCCTGGACTCGGGGAAGTGCCGTGAGCCTGCGAGGGAAACTCCGGGTGAGGTCAGGAGCCAGAGGAAGGAGCAAGCGGGTGGTCACACCGCAGCGACCATCCAACCATCCTTACCATCCATCTCACAGTTCAACAGAGTCTCATCCAGCCGGTGGACAGGGGTCTCCTCCATCCGCTCCTTCACCGGCGAAGAATCAATCCCAACGTGGTCCTGCAGGAGAGCAGAGAGTCAGGAACCAGCTCCGAGACAGGGAGCCCATCTGTGGATGGTGACCCAGCTCTGGACATCGATGGTGGGGTCAGAGAGGGGGACAGTGACCACCCGGCAGGCGTCCCTCACCTTGCGGTAGGGGTTGCTCAGCGATCCCTCCATGGCCCCGCTGTGGCCGTGCAGCAGCTGCCGTGCGTCCTGGATGGCTTTGGTGATGGCGTCGCCTTCGCCCAGGAACCCTGGCAGGACACCGGTATGGGCACCCATCAGCGCCAGCGCCCACTCCTCCGACACCCCATCCCACCCCAGCAATCGCAACTGCGTGCCCCGAGGGAGTGGCGCAGGGCAGCAGATGCCCACCCACCCAAGCCACCCCAGGGAGGAGGGACTCCAGGGAGCAGAGATGTCCCCTTTCTTCAGGAGGTGGCCAGGGAAGGGCACAGGACCATCCATCAGTGAAGGCATTTGGGAACCCACCCAGAGGCAGGTTGGACGGGCTGGTCTGCAGGTCCCTGGTGGCCCCGTGACTTGGCGTGAGGGACTGGCAGCCGCTCATCTTCA